ACAGGTCTTACCGCCTTAATTCCTGGGTTCAAATCCCAGCTCTGCCACTTCTGTGTGCCCCGGGGCACTCAAGTTCCTCGCTCTCCTTATCTGTAAAATGGGAACATCCCACCTCCAGCTTGGCGCTGGCCTCATTGTTACTATACACTTACTATCCGTGGCCAGCGTGCTCCAGTTTCGCCTTGGACGGCTGCAGGGAGTGACTCTGAGTCCCACAAGAGCAGCAGGAGCTTCTTCCTGCCCCTGCCCACCCCCAGCCCCCAGGCAGCAGCCCCCCCCCCGCCCCCCGCAGTGGGGGGTCCTGATTGGTCTGTGATGGTCTCATTCCCTGAGCCAGGGATTGGTGCAGGCCTGTCCATGTGACCTGGTTCTGCTCAATGAGGCGAAGTCTGGGCAGGAGTGGGGTGTGCTCCTGGAGAGTCTGAGACACTCTGGAGGCAGGGAGCCTTTCGCAACACTGGGTTTCCGCCCCACGGCCAATAAAGCTTACAGCGGCCCGGGGCCACTCCAGAGGGAGCCACGCTGCCATGCCAAGGATGGCCAAACACAGACAGGAAGCCCTGGGTCCTTGAGGACATCATCAAGCCTTTAGGTTACCACACTTAGAGCACCTGACTCACAGCCTCTTATCACACAAACCTATCAAACTTAGCCCGCAAAGTGAAGGGTATTTGGTATTTGCAACCCAAAGCATCCTGCTGATATCCCGGGGTTGGTCCCATCTCCTCTGCTTGAGATTAAGCCCATCAGACAGGAGGAAGAGTCTGAGCTCAGCCTGTGCACTCAGGGAAGACTTCCTGGAGGAGGTGAAACGGAATCCAAAAGAATGAGCAGGCAGATAAAGGGAGCAGGGCAAAGGGTAACATTCCAGGCAGCCAGAACAAAGGCTTGAGGTTGCGGACTCCATAGTGTGTGTGTGTATGTGTACGTCTGTGTGTCCATGTGTGTGCGGGCAGGTGAGACAGTCTGTGTGGCTAGGAGCCGGGAGAGGTGAGGCTGGAGAGCCAGAGGTGGGGCGGGCTGTGGGGGGGCCCTCAGCCAGGCTACAGAACCTCAGGCTATCACAAGGGCGGAGGACAGGGTCTGTGGGCGGCCTTGATTTTGTTCACCCATGGTCTTGCTCTCCGGCTTTGTGCCTAGAATGAGTGGCCTCCACGGGTCCGGCTATACCCAAATGCTGCGCTGAACCTGGGGCAGAGGCAGGGCCGCCGGGCCCAGCTTCTCCAGGTGCGCTGCTGCCCACCGTGCCTCTTCCAGCCCCCAGGGCGCTCACAGGAGGCCCTGGCTGAAATCTGGGTCACTCCCCGCACGAGTCGGACATCTATCAAACGGGCGGTTACTAAGTACCGACAAAGCAGTGTGCTAAGCGCGGCGGAGAAAGGACCTGGTTCAAATCCCAATTCTCTCTCTTCCCAGCTGGGTGACCTTGAGCAAGCCACTTTCCTTCTCCAAACCCGGCACCTTTACCTCTTTGTGGGAGATGGTGAAATCAACGGGTGGCCCGCTTCTCTCTGGGGCTGGCTGGGCATGGGCGTAAGCAGTGGGTAAAACAATGCTCAGAAAGCTTCCGGGGGGTAAGTCTTCCCACCTGGGTGGGACAACGAGAGGCCGACAGTATGCTGTGACAGACAGCTGAGCAGCGATGAGAGGTTCTGGCGGGGGGAGCATCTGAGCGGGGCGGCGAGGCAGTACAAAACAGAGCCGGTAGGCGAGATGGGCCAAGGGTTCCTGGAGAGAAAAGGTCCACAGAGGCAGGGCAGAAAGGACACACAAAGCCTGTAGCCTCCGGTCTGTGTCCCCGAGGCCTTTAGAACTGTGTGCTGCCCACAGAAGAGCAGGACGGACTGTTGAATACGGGTGTCGTTTGAACCTGTAGTAGCAAATCTCTGACTGAAGCCAGAAGATGCGGATTCAAAAACCTCGCCTCTCCCGCTCACCGCGTGACCTTGAGCAAGTCATTTCACCTTTGAGCCCCAACCTCCTTCTTTGCAAATGGGTATTAAACCCAGTTCACAGAGCTGTGCGGCGGTGTATGTGGGATCTAGGAGCAGGGTCCCCTTTCCCACCTAGCTAATTCCTATTTTAAAGCCCTAAGATCCAGTGCCGCCCCCTCCAGGAAGCCTCCGAGGCTCCCTCAGGCAATTGCAATCCCCCAGACCTGTCTGCTACCCCAGCTGAGGGGCATCTTAGCATGCCTCAGACTCGGCTGCACTCTCACACAGACGGAGTGCCTTCCAATGCCTCGTCCTTCCCCAAGGCTCCACCCAGGCAGAAACAAGAAGGAAAAAGTGATTCAGTCTGCTGGGGGCGAAGCAAAGGGCAGGGGGTTCTGGCAAGGTTCAGGGGTGATATCACTAGATCTTGAGGGGTGAAGAGAAACTGACTGGGAGAGGGACCCGCTTCCAGGAAGAATCAGAAGTCTAAAAGCGCAGGGGTGTGAAGGGAAGGTTAAGTAAACTGTGGCTCACCAGAGTCTCTGCCTTGAGTGGCTAACGATGAGAATTCCGGGTCTAGATTCCACCGGGCCTCAGAGGCCACGCCAAGGATGCGACCCTACAGGACATGGCTGAAAACTTGTGACCCAGCAGCACGGGGACACTGAAGGGTGTGTGTGTGTGTGTGTGTGTGTGTGTGTGAGAGAGATGCACTGGCACCTGGGCTAGCCTGAGCTAAACTTAGGTAGGGGGTGGGGTGGGAAAAGTAACAGGGCTTTGGGCCACCATTGGGGAGGGGGTCAGCACTGGTGGGAGAACCAAACAGGAGCAAAAGTTCGCCCTGGAGGATGGTTCAGAATGCTCCAGGAGTACATTCACACTCGACTACCCCTCGCTAAAAAGCCAGCGTCCACAAGCACCGCATGCTACACACGGCAGCCCTGTGAGATCGGGTCCGGGAGGGGGGTCTTCATTGCAGGGGGACAGAGTGAGGGCCCGGAGGAAAGGGACGCTGCCACAGTCACGCAGGCAGTGCGGGGCTGGCCACAACCTGAGGCCAGCGGCCCGGCCTGGAGTGCAGGGGAGGCAGGCCTTCAGCTGTCTGACAAATGTGCTCAGCACCTTCCAGAGCCAGACCCTGGAGACAAGGAGGTGACCTTTGACCTCTGAGTCATCTTGAGCTTGGACTGGACACCTGGGCCACAGACCCGTGGCCTCCAGCAGGGGAGAGAGAAAGGGGAACTCAATGAGGGGTAGGTTTCCTGCGGTCAAGAAGGTCAGCAGGGACTCACCACTCTCCTCCCCCCGGCCCCCGACACCCCCCATGTCTATCTGTCATGTCAGTCTCCTAAACTGGGCCCTGGGGTGGAGGCTGGAAGAGGGCCAGTCCCTATACAAAGGTTGAGGGGCAGAGGGAGTGGCTCTTTGCTGCCTTTCTAAGAAGCCCCCAGATGCCCCCTCCTCCCAGCACCCACCCAGGCCCTGCTCAGCCGCAGCCTGAGTCATCATCTCTGTTTGAATGGTAGCCGACAAATCAGCCAGGGGGCTGCCTGGGGCCGAGGGCCAACGGTTGGAAAAACAAGGCCGGTTTCTCTTACCTCCAACCTTGGAAGCTCAAGACAGGCTAGGGGGTGGTGGGCCGAGGGCAGGTAGAGGTGGGATGGGGGGGTGTCAACGGGGGGTGGGTGTGGGGGGGGAGGGGGAAGGGGGGAGGGAAAGGTTCAGAATTTGAGCTGCCGGCTTTTGTTTTCAAATGACCTGTTTAATAATTACCTTTGCAATCAAAGGAGCCAGGGCTCAGGGAAGGAGAGGGTTTCAACCCTCCATACCCCACCGAGCAGCCCGAGAAGAAAGTAAACAAGATGCCACCAGCGGCTCTCGCTCCTTCTTGCAAACAATGGCGGGACTGAGCTGTCCGCTCAGACACACACATCAAAGTGAGATTTCCAGGCAAGAACTTTAACAGGCAGATAAGAGGCTGGGACCGAATCATTTCCCTGCATCCCCAGAGCTTCCCTGAGCGCTGAGCCCAAGAGGGGAGGCTTAGGGGGCCGTCATTTCAACCTTAACCTTGACCTGGAATATATTCATTCATTTTGCAGCCAGGGAGCACCACCTCCGCCCCGACCCCTGAAAAACTCAACCAGCAACAACTTCACCCTTTGACTGGTCACAATGCAATGATGTACAAACAAGGGATTTAAGTTACAGCAGCCAGCTCCGGCTCACACTCCTCTGGGCTCCTTAAAAAAACACACCCCACCCCAGGCATCCACCGGGGCTCACAAAGTCAGAGCCTGCCCTGGCAGTGGGAAAATCCAACTTGGTTTGTTTTAAAGGTGGTTGCTGCTTCCCCAATCTCCCAAGGCCTTCAACTATTTTCCCCCTGCAGCATCCAAGCCCAGCCTCGAGGCTGAGCCATAAACACGCCTGCTCCTCCCCCTTCCACGGTTCGGCAACACCCCCCCCTCCCCACCTTCCCGGACCTGGAGGAGAAAGCAGCACCGCGACCCTCTCCCGCAGCCCCTCCCGGGCCCTCCCCCGGCCCCCCGCGCCGTCCGCAACCCTCGCAGGCACCTCGAGATAAACACCCACTAATGATTTTATGATTTTCTGCTCTGGGTAGCCGCGCTCAGCAGAATCCCTCCCCCGGCCCCGGCGCCGGGGCCGGCCCAGCCGAGGCCTTGGGGGATGGGGGTGTTAGTTTGTGTTTGCCACGGTCGCGTCCCCACACCTGTTTTTCATTCATTCGTTCGTTCGTTCATTCATTCCCGGGCTCGTCCCTGCAGCCTCCCCGGCCCTCCGGATCTCGGGGAGGGGATGGGAGGGAGGGGACCGAGATGGAGGTGCGGGGGGGGGGAGACAGCGGCGGAGGTGCACCGCGGGGGGGTCGGCTCGGGGTGCAGAGACCCCGCTCGAGGGCAGGCCCGGCGGCTTCGCCGACAGCAGGCGGGCGGCGGGGCGGGGGCGCTCCCCGGGGCTCGAAGTTGTTTTCCGCGGCTCGGCGGCCGCCCGGGTGCGCCCCTTTGTCTGCGCCCGGCCGGCGCCGCGTCCCCGCGCGCTCACCTGGTCTTGGAGGACAGGAAGGCAAGTTTGATGAGGCCGTAGGTGAAGAGCGGGATGCTCTCCTTGGCGACGCTGGCAACTTGCAGCCGGTGCTCCAGGATGTGGAGTTCCATCGTCCGCCCGCGCTCCGCGGCGGCTCATCGGCGGGGGGCGAGCCGCGGCCCCCGCCCCCTGCGCGCCCGGCCGGCCGGCCCAGGGGAGGACCGGGAGCTCGGCGCCGGGCGGCCCCGGGGCGGACAAAGGGGAGGCCCGCCGAGCCGCGAGGGGCCGCGGGCGGCGGGCGGGCGGCGGGCGGGCGGCGGGCGAGGGCGGCAGCGCTGGCGGAGCGGCGGCGCGCGGCGCCCGGCGCGGGGAGCAGCTGGTGTTCGCTGTAACAAACAACTTGCCACTCAAACGCCGGCAGGCTGCGCATGCGCGGCCGCCGCGGGGCCTGCCGGGACTTGTAGTCGCGCGCGGCCGGGGCTGCGGGGGCTCGGCGGCCGCGCGTGGGGCCGGCCGGGCGCGGGGGGAAGGCGGGACCGCGCGCGCCTGCGGGGCCCGGGGGAGCAGGGGGTGCGGGTGCGGCGGTGCGCCGGGGGGCCGGCTTGGGCCTAGCTCGCTGCGAGCTCTCCCCCGGAGATCGGGGCCGTGCGCTCCGGGGTGCGCAGCTCCCGCGCCGGGGGAGGAGGCCCGGGTCGGGGAGGGGCGAGATGTGGAGAACCGGTGGTCAGAGCGCGCGGAAGCCGCGCAGACTCTGGGGCCGCGGACAGAGGTGGGGCCGACGGCGTCTGGCGGGGGGACGGGGGAGTTCCCGGAGGAAGGGTCCTCCCGGTGGGCGCTGAGGGGTGGATGGGAGCTCGCCCCGGAGGGGGGCGGGGCGCGGCCCGAGGCCTTCCAGGCAGAAGGAACAGCGTGTCCGGAGCACGGAAGCGTGAAAGCCCCCGCCGGGCGCTGTTTGGCTTTGCTGGAGCGGAAAATGGGAGGGAGGAGAGGCGAGAGATAAGGCAGGCGTCGTCTCCAGGAGTCCGGTCGAGAGGGGTCATGGGTGCGGATCTAATGAGGCGGCTGTGGGGCCCGCGCGGGAGCGGGTGACGGGGACCGTGACGGCCGAATTAGTGAGCAGTCTGCCACAGTCCGAGGGGTCATTCCCACCCCGGGGCCCCTGTGCGGTGACCGTGGCCTGCGACGCATCCCCGTCGTGGCCGGCTGGTTGGAGATGGTCTAGGTTAAAGTTGCCGGTGCTTCTCCCGTTGGCAGAGTGACCTGGGGACAGGGTGGGTCACGCTGACCTGCTGGGGCAGGCCGTCAAGGCTCTTTCTGGGGGAAAACTCCAGCGATGCCCTCCCACATGCTCTCTCCAAGCTGGCCTCTGATAGGTAGCAACATATGAGGCTCCCTCTTCCACAAAGGGGTGTGAAACCTGCAATCTGGTAGCTCCTCCAGCCGGCTGATCCCCTTCCCGCTTTGTTTTCACTGAAGAATTTATCACCCTATAATAAAGAATATATTTACTTTTTTTTTTGTTTTTTGTTGGTTTGTCTCTCCCTCTTGCAGAATCTCACCTCCATGAAGGCATTGACTTTTATCTGTTCTCTGCTGAATTCCCACTGCTTGTGATGTGGCTGTCCTGTGAGACACAGGCGTTTCAATATTCATGGAGTGCACAAATGCAAAACCTATTCTTTGGGAGTCTAGGGGTCTACAAGGCCCAAACAGAAATGTGCGTTCAGGGCCCAGGCAAGTAATAGGGATGTGTGAACCAGTTGGGTATCAGACAGTCCTGAGTAGAACAGGGGAAGGGAATCCTGCTTGAAGGCATCACATTCTATTAAAAAACAAAACAAAAAAACAAAAAAAACAAAAACCCCACAAAACCACCAACAGAGGAAAGCAAGCAAAGTCTTACTCAGAAGCAGTTGACAATTCTCCGTTTTTTCTGGTCAAGCCAGACCATCATAACGTTTGCAATTTTGATGGTATGGCTTTGCCTTGCAGAATTGCTTCTGTTCAGCTGTATTTGTGATTCTAGTTTTGGGGAGATGACTGCAGAAATCAGCGTTGAGGTGTTAGAGAGACTGTCCTGTGGGCTGCCAAGTCCAGGGCATGTTTTCAGTCTGGGACTAGGGTGAGACAAGGCACTCTTGACGTCATGGAGTTCACTCCTCTCCCTTGATTCCTTAACGCTGTGCCCTTCTGGTGCCCCTCTGGTTCTTCCACTTGCCAGCTGTGGTTTCTTCTCTGCCCAACCCTACAATGAATGGAGGCCCCCTTGATGTTCCTTCCCATAGAGGATTTATACCAAAATGGCTGCCAGTGAATCATGCCTTCCGGTAAGTCGTTCTGCATTGACTCTGGGTTTGGCTCTAGGACCTTTTCGGCCAATGTGCTTGATAAGTCCTATACAGTGGGACTCGCCCTCTTGGAACGCTGCCCTGAGACCACTGTGCTGTGGAGAAGTCTGGATGAAAGACCACAGGGAAGGAAGGGCCTGAGTGTAGGCCAGCTCTTCCCGGCCTACAGCTGGCCTCAACTACCTGACATGTCCTTCTTGGACCTTCCTGCTCGCTGTCCAGATGAATGCGATGTCCTGAGTAAGCTGGCTGACCAGAAGAGCAATTAGCCAGCCAACCTGTAGAAAAATAACAAATAGTCGTTTTTAGCCACTAAGATTTGGAGTGGTTCATTATATAGCAATAGATAATTCAACCCTCATCTTCTCTCACTCTGGGTGGACTTAGTCTCTGACTTTGATACGTTGATGGTCCCCAGATTGACAGTCCCCCGTAAAAATATGTTCCAGAGGCCCTGATTGATGCATCTGGCTTCCTAGCGGTTGGCTACCCCCTTCTGAATGTTGACAGGCTCTGCCAACCCAACCTGTTTGAACCTGACCGAATTGTCTGACCCACCTTTGACCTTCCCTTTCTCCTCTTCCTCCTGGAATCCCTGTCTTGGTGAAGGACACCAGACCTGTTTTCTCAAGTTACCAACCTGGTGTGGCACCCTGTTTTCCAAGATGGCAGCAGTATGGTCTTCCATCCTCCATGTTCTTCTGGCAACATGCCAATCAGGAGGTGAGTCTATGTTCTCTCCCCTTGAAATTGAGCAGGACTGTGTCTTCTGAAACCAGGTCCTCACAGGTGAAACTTTTTGCCCCTTGTCCTCTTGGGGATGGTCTCCCTTGGAACCATTCTGCCATGCTCTGTGGAAGCACGGGCCACACAGACCACAGGTAGGCGTTGGTATTGGTTGGTTAGGCCTGTGTACCAAACCACCACAGACTGGGGTGGGGCTTACACAGCAAAAACGTATTGTCTCACAGCCTGAAGGCTCAAAGGCCGAGATTAAGTTGTCGGCAAGTTTGGTTCCTTCTGAAGCTTCTCTCCTTGGCTTGTCAGTGTCTGTCCTCTCCCTGTGTCTTCACATGGTCTTCCTCTTTCTGTGTATCTGGTGCCCTCATCTCCTCTTTTTATAAGGATGCCTGTTATATTGATTAGGGCCCCCGCTAAAGACCCCACTTAATCACCCTTTCAAGGTGATCACCCTTCCAAGTCACCCTTCCAAATACGGTCACATTCTGAGGTCCTGGGGTTGAAGACTTTGACATTGGAACTTTGGGGACATGAGACACAATTTGACCCATAGCACTACTCTGGCCAACGGCCCCACCGAGGTTCAGCTGGCCACCAGCATCCCTACCAGATGGGTGAGGAAAAATTTGTACAACGCAAATGCATGAGACACCTCCCCTCCGCCCCACCAAGGCAAGAACCATCCTGCTAAGCCCAGCCTCTGCAACTCTGAGAGGCAATAATGAAATCCATGTTGTTGCCTTAAGCCACTCACTTCGAGATGGCTTGGTAAGCCGCAGTCGGTAACTGGAACACCCTGGGATCAACTTGGGGGTGGGGAATGGAGGAAGTTGATTGTGCAATTGTCCTAGATTGTTATCTCTCGCTTCCTGTTCCCCCAACCCTATAGACAGATAGATTTTTTTTTAAGGTGGGGTGGAGCAGACGGAGAAGGAGAGGGAGAAACTTAAGCAGACTCTAGCATGGACGCCTGACCTGGGGCTCCAATTCATGATGCTGTGATCATGACCAGAGCCAAAATCAGAGTGGAACGCTTAACCGGTGAGCCACCTGGGTGCCTCCCCACCCCCACCCCAACCCCTATATCTGAACAATCACCAAGTCCTAATGATATTAGAGACCATATATCTCTAATCCATCATCCTTCTCCACTATGGCCACCATGACCCCATGTCAGAGCATGACTCCCCTGTCCTGAAGGTCCTAATGTCCATTCTATCTACCTCTTGTTCCCAGGGTAGCTATTCTACTCTGCGACCCTATCCTCCTGTAACAATTCTGCCTAATGTCCTTTAAGGCCCAGGAGGAAACCACAGTTCTCTTAAGAAAACCAATCTCAGATCCTCCACAGCTGGTCTTATGTAAAAGGGAAATGCTTCCTGGTTTCTAGAACAATTTTCAATATGGTAGCCATTAACCACATATGGCTATTGGGCAGTTGAAATGTGGCTAGTGCCATGAGACTCTGATGTCTTAATTTCAGTTCATTTTAATTTAAATTAAAAAACTGCTACTCGATTCTGTTATTAGAAAATGTTCAAGGGGCTCCTGGCTGGCTCAGTGGGGAGAGCGTGCAACTCTTGATCTTGGGGTCATGATTTCGAGCTCCATGTTGTGTGTAGAGATGACTTAAATAAATAAACATTAAAAACAAAAAAGTTCAAGTGTGTTTGGAATAGCGTGCTTAACTGTCCTCTTTTCTCGGGGACTGAAGAGGATTTCAGGACGTGGGGTAAACCGGGACACATTGATCATACGACTATGAAACAACTTGGTATGGAAATCTGTGAAATCTAAAACCTAGATCAAGAATTGTAGGTGAAAGTTAAGCATCCAAATGGTGATGTACAATAAAATAAAGTATACCCTGGCTTTCCAAGACTTGGCATTAAAAAAAGAATGCAGAATATCTCAATTTTTTAATATCGATTGCATGTTGAAATAATAATATTTTAGATATTGGGTTAAGTAAAATGTATCATTAAATTGATTTCATCCATCCTTTTTCATTTTTTAAAAACTTCCAAAGACCATATGGCTTGCATTATATTTTCTTGGATGGGGCTTTTCTAGCTCAGTGGCTCTTAGGCTGTGTTTGGTGTCAGAATCA